CGAAGCCCAAGTCGAGACCTTGCGCCCTGCAACCCCACTGCAAAAGCCCGAAGCTCGAATATAGGGTTTAGGGTTTAGGGTTCAGGGTTATATAGGGGCCTTAGTAGTTTGAATAGGGTTTGGGGTAGATTATACTAAAACCCTATTCTAATTATCAAGGCCCCTACATCAAGCCTGAAACCCGAAGCCCTAAACCCCTTGGGACACCCGCTTCGGTTTCGGAGCACTTTTCGAAACCCTAAACCCAAAAACCCTGAAGCCTTAAAGCCCTAAACCCTACACCCCTAAAGCCCGAAAGCGATATACATCCTATACCCTGGGTCTGAAGCTTTGAGCCTAAACCCTAGACCCTGAACCCTAAACCCTAAACCCTAAGCCCTAAACCCTAAACCCTAAACCCTAAACCCTAACTGAGAGGTGAGCCGGAAGCGTTCGGCGGAGAACGTGGAGCCGCTCCTCAAGGCTCTTAGCTTCCCCCTGGAATGATAGGGTTTAGGGGTTTAGGGGTTTTGGGGTTTTTGGGTTTTTTGGGTTTAGGGTTTTAAGGTTTAGGGTCTTTAAGGTTTAGGGTTTAGGGTTTTAGGATTTTAAGGTTCAGGGTGTAAGGTTTTAAGGTTTAGGATTTTAAGGTTTACGGCTTAGGGTTTGAGGGATGAGGGTGTGAGGTTTTTTAAGGTTTAGGGTTTAGGGTTTTCAGGTTTAGGGTTTAGGGTTTTAAGGTTTAGGGTGTATAAGGTTTTAAGGTTTAGGGTGTAGGGTTTAGGGCGTAGGGTTTTAAGGTTTAGGGTTTTTTAAGGTTTAGGGTTTTAGGTTTTAGGTTTAGGGTGCTGTGTTTTAAGTTGTAGGGTTTCGGGTTTAGGGTGTAGGGTTTAGGGTTTAGTGTTTGGGGTGTTAAGGTTTAGGGCTTAGGGTTTTCCCACAGCAACTAAAACAAGTGGTGTTGCGATGTAGAAGCTGCTAACCTAAACCCACCAGCCTGAACGCCAAAGCCTGGTCGCCTCATAAAAGCCGGACAGACTCCACCTACACACGTAGAGGAACCCTTCGGGTATAGTTACCGATAGTAGTCCTTAGAGATCCTTCTCATTATCATGGACAGAGTCTAAGATGGCCCAAAAACTCAATTCTAATCATTGAGGCCCCTGTAGTACCCTCACAGAACCCAACAGATTCCCACAGAAACCCATCGCTGCATTGATTGGGCACAGGCTCGCAGGGTCTCGGTAGGTTTAGGGTTTAGGGTGCCGGTTTGTTGTGGTTGGTTGCAAGTGGGGATCCGTTTCCTAAGGTTTGATGCATGGACAAAAGTTTATGGTTGAGGGCTTAGGGTTCAGGGGCAGGGTTCTCAGCGCCTACTATCATTTCCCGCTACGACCACGGCAGAGGCACGAGAGTCACTGCAGGAACTGGGACAGATTACAGATAGTGCGCAACCCAACTCGAGGCAACAGATCCCTAAAGGCTGAGCCTAAGATCCTCTACCCTGCTACACTGCCTTGCACGCAAGGATGTGTTCAGGGATGATCCTGGAGTGTATGCCGGAAGTCACACACTGCGTCTTGGGATCTGCGTCCCTGAAACACCAATCCCTGAACAAATCCACTGCCTCAACACTCGTCGGTTTCACCCTCGCGATATCAAATCTTCCAGTCTAAGACCTCCAAATCCGAAACTGATTGCAGCCCTTGGTGCAGTGTAGACTGCCTCATTCAGAGGTCTTTCTCGTGGCTTTGTGGCAAGCAATATCCGAAAGTTCGGCTTTCTCCCCCTGCAGCCATAAATATGTCCATGTGACAAGACTGTCAAACGGAAAAACACCATGGCAGTTCAGTAGCTGCAACGTGGGCACAGGCCATTCCATGACGAACGCCCGCTGCGAAGTGAGTTGTAGACATCCAAGCGTGTGGCTTGGAGGCCGCGGTTTCGTGTTCAGGAGATTAAGCCAGGCTTCCTAATGCTTTCATCCCTGAATCAGTTCGCAAGCTACATGCCGTAGAGCTCAGAGGTTTGCCGGCTGTTTACCTCGCCACGCAGCGAGGATGAGTTTTTCCATAGCCACAAACGAGTCTTCGGAGACTGTTTTTCTGGCAAGCTACATTGCAGAAGCTCCAAGGCGAGGCTACTATATGGACCGGAATGACTCCCATTTGCGGTTTCTTTGTATGCTCCTTCGACCCATCCACAGTTCTCATACTGGCTAAGTCTCGCCCCGAATCCAAAAAAGGAGTTCTGAGTGGGAAGCAGTAGAAGGAGGACGCAATAGCACCGTGGCATTAACACCATGACATATCATATCATCTCGTATCATATCACGTCTGATCTTACAGTAACACGTAACATAACAGACCATACTTTTTATATGTACATATGTATATATATATATATATCATTGTATGTTTACATTCATACAAATGGTACGGGAGTAGCGCTGGAACACAGTACTGGTGGCAGCTAGCAGCTAGCAAGCGGCTAGCAGTAGCGGAGACTTCTTTTGACGGTTGCGATGGTTGATGCCAAGCGAGCAAGCGACAAGTGTTAACAGTGACGAAGCACATGACAAGTCTTGTGTGATAGTCATGCACAAGATGCTGACAGAGCAATGTAGCTGATAAGAACGCATCAATACCAGCACAAGTATGTGATTATAGACACGGTGTGTTTAACCCGCTCACGGGAAATTACTGTGTTTTTTCATCCGGATGACGATGAAATGATGTTGAACCGCATGAGAGAGTCATAATTACAACAACGCCCAGCCGTTGACACCACTACTGATAAACTAGTACTGTCCCGTCACCATGATGTATGTGTGCGTGTGTGTGTGTGTGTCATTCGTTCGTTCATTGGTTTGCCACCATTATACCCTAAACCCTAAACCCTAAGCCCTAAACCCTAAACCCTATACCCTAAACCCTATACCCTAAACCCTAAACCCTAAACCCCCCTTCTAGGTTCATGCTTGCCTTTCCTGTGAGCGGGCCGCCGAATTTAGAGAAGAGCCCTGCTCTTCGTCTCCTTGTTGGCCGAATCTGCATCTCCTTTCTTTGCAGAGTTGGGCTTGGAAGGTCCTTATGCATGAGTTTTTCAGATGCCCGCCGGCACCCACATCAACCTCTGCCGAATGTGCACGGACAGACTGTCACCGTGGATTCATGCCCGAACCTGGGAAGTATAGTAACATGTAGCGGCCAGGCAGGCAAGCCACTTCATCGCATCCTCTTAGCTGTGAGTCTCGTCGAGCTTGGCTTGCCTAGGCAGGGATTGGGCCTGTAAATCGGGAGCTGCTCCAGCAATCACTTCTCTTAAATTATTACATGGAATGCATAGTCAGAAATGACAGCAATTTCCAGCACAGCTTAGGCTGAGATTAAGACGGTGCGAGGCTGAAAGGGCGGCGGTGCTCCGTCCTGTTTGTGCCGTAGCGACGCCTTGGAAGACCGTGCATAGCTTGGAGCAGCTGTCCTCGAATTGAGCACATGCAGCATGCACACAAACAACTTGCATATCCTGCGGATGGCTTAGCCGCGCACTGAGTATGCCTGCCCACAGTGCAGTATGAATATCATTTACATCTGACGTCTGCAACCTCCGAAGCCGAGACCAGCACGCTCCAGGAAAGGGGTTGATATGCATGCAACCCAAAGGCGTCGTCCCCGGCCGCACGTTCGGCACACTGATTCGGTGGCTTGTAAATGGCTTGAAGCAAAAACATCGCACAGGCAAGATGCTGGGACTGCATGAAGACTCAGCCTGCAGACTGTGGTGTTTTGGAATCCGTCTGTTGGTTAATATTTACAAGACCTCTGGGAAAACAAAACTAACGGGGCATCTTGTAGATCTTGCCCTTCTGGGAACTTGTAGATTCTATCTCGAACTAGCCTTCTGCTAGATCTTCTTTATAGTTACACTGTTAAATGTACCAAGCAGCATACACCCACACACCAAGATTTTTTATATCGGACACCAGTGCACCGAATGCAGCTGCGGCCTCGAAGCGCGAGCACAGCGGAGATGCCACAAAATGGCCCCAGCATTTGTGCGCAAGATGTTTGTTTCGTAGCAGCTCCTGACAACAACCACAACCTGATATGGTGTCACCATCATTGTCAGTGGCATCATTAATTACCATAGTCATATCCATCGCTCTTGCTTTCCCAGTCTCATATTTCGTGATGGTCGTGACCAGTCGTGCGATCTGTCTCATCGCCACGAAAATCATCACCACCATCATCACCGCCATCATCATGGTCAAAATCATTGTTATCCTGATTTTTTGCCACGGGGGGGTATATCCATAATACTCAGCAGATGCAGTAATTTCTGCACGGTGAACTAGTTGAAAGGTGTTGAACTGTTCAAAGCTTGTCGCGAGCTTTGACTGATTTTCGCGTGTTTCTGTCTTTATCATCGCAACATATCGCAACACCGACAACACAGCTGCGGGCGCCCACCTCTACGTTTCCTCAAATGTTCGCTTTGTTGAGGGATGAGGTCGTGGGGCCTTTCGGCTAGCCCAAACTGAGCAGACAAAGAAAGGGTTACTCGTTCATGGCTGCAGGTTCATCAAACGGTACACCGTATAGTTCATAGGAAGTTATCGCAGATATTGTAGCAATGTTATCCTATCGTGTTTCTCAGTGCAGATGTGACGATCTTGTCGATCCTGCCAAGCTGCGCGCCGCCGTTCGAACCCCGGTCGATTCGCAGCCTTTGGGCTTGGCTTGCTTGGCAGTGCCACTTACGCAATCTAGCCAGCAGGCAGCATGAAATTGATCCTTCAAAGGTATGTGCACACAGGCACATGCCTGCAAGTTGTGGACATGACAAGTGCTATAGGTCCAAATGTTGATGGGCTCCTTGTTAAATCAGTCCAGCACTCTTACCGCATAAAGGGTTGGAAGTGGAGCCCGAGCAACCTTTATGACAAGCTGAGAGACTTCCAGCCATTTCCAGCTTGAGCGCCTCTGCTAGCCGTTGTGTGTAGCTGCTCCGGTGATCCCATGTATCCTCTTCTGAGGGCGCCAACAGTGCTGGCTGCCCCCGCGCCTGGAATCAGCCGCGCCACTTCCAGCCGCAAACCTTGCTTCATGTTTTCGTGGCTCCGTGTCCGTGGGATCTAGAAACATCATTTTGCGGCGGCCGGGCTCAACATGTGAATGTGGGATGCTCTTCTTCGGCATGACACTAATCCCAGAGGGGTGGCGGCGGCCGTGCTGGTGGTGCTGGTGGTGGTGGTGGCGGTAGTAGTAGTAGCAGCAGCAGCAGCAGCAGTAGTAGTTAGTAGGTTTTTGTCGGCGTCATCTTTAGTGGCAGTAGTAGCAGTAGAGGTGCCGGAAGTCGTCGTGGCAATGATAATTGTGGTGGTGAGTCTAAAACAGAACGAAGCCCTATGATGTACTATACCTTATATACTAGAACGAACTAGACTCTGCTACCCTACCTATAGTCTCCATTGTAGTTCCTTTTTGGGGATAGCTTATAAAATCCTGAATATATAATTGGTTAAACCATTAAAAAAGGAATGACCCTGGAGACTATAGGTAGACTCTGCTACCCCTAAACCCTAAACCCCTAAACCCTAAACCCTAGACCCTAGAGCATCATGTCCAAGGCCGACCTTCCAATGCGTTGTTTGCCGTTCCTGCGGCGGCTTATGCCTTGCGGCAGCTCGCGCCCTCAACCAGGCGCCTCCTGGATTCTTCGGGTTTAGAGCGGAGGATGTAGGGTTTATGTTTAGGGTATAAAATTTACCTAAAGTCTCCATTGTAGTTCCTTTCTTTAAATTAATCAATGATATATTAAGACTTTTATAAGGTATCCCCAAAAAGGAACTACAATGGAGACTATAGGTAGGGTTATGGAGTGAGGTTTATAAGCTGTAGGGTCTGTATGTCCCTAGGATACGAAGTCCCAGGATCCTAGAAGAAGTCTGTGGTGGGGCTGAGGAGGTGTAAAGGGGAATCATCGCCACCTACTACCGTGACGAAGACGTACTTTGTGCTGCGGACCTCCACGCGGATGAGTAGCTTTACTTGGAGGTTCATGGTTAGTGATAAGTAGGGGTATAAATAGGATTACTATAGTTATAACCGTTATTAAAGCCCATATTAACGGACTTATGACTCTACTTTTAACTACCCATGAACCTCCAAGTAGGGATCCTAAACCCAAGCCCTGCTCACGAAGCCGGAGCTCACACGCCTGAAACGGAGAGCAGTGAATAGAAACCATTTCAGGAAGATCTCTGCATAGCCCAGCCTACTTGCACCACTGCACCCTAGCCTAAAACCTGTAACTCAGTCTGAATCGAGCATCCCCAAAACCCCGAATCGTAGAGCTCCAGAGCCCTTAGGCAAGAACTCTATCACTCCTAAAACCCTAAGCATTCCGAAGCCCTAGAACATTTACCCTGAAGCGCTAAAGCCTGATCCGCAAAACTCGCAGAATGCGATGCACGAGCCCCCTGCAGGTTTGCCCTGCCAGCCAAAACCGGAGGAAGCGAAACCCGTGAATGCAACCTGGGAATATCAATCATCGTCCAATATGCATTTACAACAACCCTTCCAAAGCCAACAAGCAGCCGAAGCCTGATGTTGCTAAGGACTAAAGCAGAAACTTTCCATCGACTTCATCTCTCACTCTGCATGCCTGAGGAAGGGCTGATCAAATCTAACCCTAAACCCTTAAACCCTAAACCCTTGCCGGAAAAGGGCCAGGAGGCAGCTGCCTCTCCGAGCCACGAAGACGGAGGCCGCCGAGGTCACCGGGCCGCGCCGGCCGGCCTTAGTTTCAGCGACGGTTTAGGGTTTATAGAATTGTATTAGCCTATATTATTTGGTATGGTAGTACATACTAATATATTCCAGTATATTACAGTATGTATTATATATATATATATTGTATGATGTTATTTTATAGTATTTAGGGCCGTTGAGGTGGAGATTTAGTGTCTCGCGTCCGGGCTGTGCGATTGCGGACTTGTTGCACTTTGTATGGGAATCCTTACTACCAAGCAAAGGACCAAGAAATATGGCCGTTGATTGCAGTGCTGCACGGGGTTTGACGGTTTGCTGGGGTCGGTAGTCTGATAGTCATCGTACTGCCGGAGAGCTGGAGATCTGTCTAGAGTCTAGACCTTGATCCTCCAAAACTCATGGGAGCACCAGCGTTCTAAATCGGATTGTGTCCCGGTGCAAAAAGTCGAAGATTTTGCGGTGTTCTGGGGCAGAGCACTCCGGCTCCCACAACCTCGGCCCAGCTCTGAGATGAAACGGGCACGCGCCCAAACCGCCGGATTTTCGTTTTTTGTTTTCGGAAAGGTACAACCAGGCCCGAAGGCTAGTCAATTATGATGGTCAGGATGGCGGCGATGACGATGTTGATGTTGGTGATGACGAAGCTGAAGAGTGATAAGATTATATTGACCGTTGTGGTTGTAATGCTCATGCTGATGAAGAGTTGTTGTAGCATTGTGTCTGACAGTGGTAGAAGCAACTTTCAAGCATGTGATCACAGATCATGAACATATGATGTGGATGACGTTGTTAGCATGATGAGAATAGTGCGACTGATAAGCGGGATGACGGCGGCATGCGCGGCCGCGATCGTCGTGATGATGCTTGTAGTGATGAGGCCTGCGTACACAATACTTGGTGATGGTGGCTACAGCAAGAAAGACCTAAATACTCACGAACTTATCATTCCTCAATAGTCCTTTTCAACATGTGGCTATAGTACAACTAGTTATTAAAACACCCAAACTCTATAAACAAAAACAAAAACCTCAATTATTCAGGCCCTAAACCCTAAACCCCTAAACCCCTACACCCTAAACCCTAAACCCCTAAACCCTAAACCCCTAAACCCCTAAACCCTAAACCCTAAACCCCTAAAATAGCTGTGCGCGGCAGGTGGCAGCTGAAACAAGACCTTGCAGACCTGCAGAGGAGACTTCGAAAGTACCCAGTGGAACCCGGGATTTATGTCGAGAGTTCGGGGTGTAGGGTTCTGGTTCAGGGTTTTATTTGGTTTAGGGTTTAGGGTTTAGGTTTAGGGTTTTATGGTTTAGGGTTTAGGTTCAGCGTTTTATTTGGTTTAGGGAGACGCGGGGCTTTCGTGTTGTGCTCACGATTTGGCCGCCCTCTGCTGACCATAGAGTTGAAAGCAACCACAGAGTACTTGTATTAGCATCGTCGTTCAGTGAAACTTGTCCGAAATCCCCAATGCTGCTGCACAAAGCACCTGGCATTGCATGGCACATTGTTGCAGATAGTCAACATGTTTGCACGCATTCTTGAATCGAGTTCCAGAATCTTACCTGCAACCTCGAAGGCGGAGTGAGTTGATTGTGGCCCGCTCAGGACCGGCAGCCCAGTTGGTGTTTGGGTTAAGGGCTGGTACGGCGGTAGGTAGGGTTTGGGGGATCTCGGTGTTGGAGGATTAAGGCTTAGTCAACACTTCTGATCTCGGCTTCTATCACTTAGTAGAGTCAACAGCCGTTTCGAAAGCCTCAGCCCAATCTTCCGATGCAGCCAAGAATCCAGAACGAAGGTCATCAACAAGAGGTTGCAGGCCTTTCGGAGAAGGGCACAGCACCAAGTCTAGAATCCCGGAATTCCAAGAGAATCCATCACACTGTTTCGCCTCTTTGTTCCTGTGTATCGAAATTGCAGATTCAGAGCTCCATTCCGAGTTCGTGAGCTGAAAGAAAATAGATATAGAGCTGCAGACTTGCAATGTGAATCGCGAGGAAGGCTCCAGAATTCTAGACTCTAGACTTAGTTCTCGTTGCCTTTGTCTCAAGAGCAGGGAAGTTTTTCTGCGTTTGTTTCAAATTCATCTATCCCGGAATTCCGTATTGCAACTGCTTGGTGCTCTCCTTTTGCAGGTAGCTTATCTCTCAATTGGGCAGTCGGCGAAGTTGGCAATCTATACACGCCTACGGTAGATAAACTGGTGTTTCGGAGGTTAAATAATAAACATTAGTGCGCACAAGCACACTTTCTATGATACCTATATATACATATATAAGTAAATAAGTAAATAGATAAATATACATAAAAAATATATGTATGTATATATATATATATACATATATATATATATATACACATGTGTGTGTGTGTGCGCAACGGCATGTACAGATATCTCTATGTGTATATATATATATATATGTATGTCATGTGTATGTATATACAAAGAGAGAGAAAAACAAAGGAACTCTAGACGGATGCTACAGGTTTGAAGGAGTGTTTAGGGTTTGCCGGTGGGGCGATAGGGTATGCTCGCCTCACAAACCCTCCGAAGTACAGTAAACCACAGACTAGCGTTCCGCTGCAGATCCAACTTGCGCCCGTAGAGTTGAGATGAATGTTATAGTTTGATACACCTCAAACCCTAAACCCTAAACCCCCTTTATCAAGGCTCCTAGGTTGCCCTGAGTATTCTTGTGCAGAGCCTTGAAGAACGGGAGCCTTCCAGCCACCTGTTGCCGGCATTCCAGGCGTAGGTACTCCTGAGTTCGAGGCACCGGCAGGGCCCTGTTTTTTTTGGAAGGGGCGAGAGGTTGGGCGGGGGGGTGTTTTGCTGTAGGTTTCTTCGTCTTAAAATCTCGAATTTAGGCTTCCTCTTGTGATTCGTTTTGCTTGGGCTGATTGCAGTCTTCTGTTGGCCTTGTTTGTTGGTTTCGCTGCGGCTATCCAAACCTACACCTCCCTCCGAGCGCACTCAGGAAGCCGCACCCAGTCCCGAATCGCTGTACGGTTCCACGAAATAGCTATGTTTTAGTGGGACTGCAAACTTGAAAGCAGGTATAAAGCCCTCTAGGCCCCAAATAAATCGCACGCCCTCAAATCTGAATCCCTACAGCCTTGAACCCTGAAGCTCTAAATCCTACGTGCTTACATACCCCCGAAGCCTCGAATCCAGAAGCCCTAAACCCCCCCTAAATCGGCAGACACAACCGGGAACCTTGGATCCCCCCAAACCCTCAACCCAAAGCCCTGAAACGCTTCACCCTAGAACCGCCCAAACCAAAGCCCTTAAACACCAAACTTGCGCTAAATCCTGAACCCTAAACCCTAAACCCGAAGCCCTGTTAGGCCCGAAGCTTTTTTGCAGGCCGAAGCGAAGCGTATCCGTTCGGAGTCCACCCGTGCAGACCTTTGGGACGACCCTTCGACCGCGCCGGGCCTCCTACTGTACTGCCTTTGCTTTACGACTGACGTTCTGGGTTTAGGATTTTTGGATTGTTGGCTTAAAGGTATGGTTTAAATTAAAGGATTTAGAGTCTAGAGTTTAGGGCTTTGGGTGATGTTAAAGCTCAAGGTTTTGGGGTTAAGGGTGAGGGCAAAGCAGCATATCATGAAATTCGCCCAAAGACCCTAAAGTCTGCACTGTAAGCCCTAAGCAGCCCCAAACCGCAAACCCAATCGCCGGTACAATGCCTCATGAGCAACAGCAGTCGTTCTAAGGTCCTCGTGAAAGCCCCCCAAAACCCAACACCCTGAAACCTCGAACGCCGACATGAACTTCCCAATACCCAGTAATATTCGTCTTCTTCTTGGTACCACAATTACTGGTATGTTCTTAGTCTTTTCTTTGTGAATTATCACCCGTCGTTCTTCTAAGACATTCCCGTGGTTGCATCGTCACCATGATTTATTACTCCTCCGCCTCCTGCTACTGCGACTACAACTGCGACGACGATGAACACGACGACTACTATTCCTACTACTACTACTACTACTACCACCGCTACCACGACTACGACTACTACTACTACTACTACTACTACTACTACTACTACTACTATTTCTTCTACGACTACTACCACAGCTACTACT